AATAGATTTCCTCGACGTAAAGGACGCTGCTATTGAGTACTTACGAGTATTGTTTGGACGGCAACAGGATTTCAGTAGTCGCCATGGCAACACACGGGAGGCCCAATGAATCCGCGTGTGCTGCCAGACAGGGTTATAGGACGAGTAGAAGGTACAGTCACGTTAAAAGCGTAGATCGATGAGAGGGATACATACGTAACACTAATATTTAATTATTATTTCTGACATTATATAACGCACTTTCTTTTGTTTTTTAACTACAAACAAATATAATTCAAAATAATATTGAGGTAATGTAAAATTTCATATCAAAGAAAATGTTTGAAAACTTGTTCATACATATTTTAGTTGGATTTAGAACAAAATACATTATTATAATTTATAAGTAACAATCGGAATAATAGCACACAATTAATCAAAAACAATAATTAAATTAATTGTTAAACAACATCAATTAGTTAAAATTACCACTCAATTATATTATAAATAGATATTTTAAGTTATAATTAGTAACTAAAAATATTATACAAGTAATAACATCATATTGTCTAGTAATTTTAATTCAACAAATCTCATCATTCATGATAAATTTACTTTCTTTATTGATTAAATGAAACTTGTTCGATGCGAGAACAATGACTGGAGTAAAAATTTAACTTTGATCCTAAGAAGGTCGTGTTGGCATTTTTTGTGACGAACAATTATACAAACAGAAACGTGTTTCTCATTTAAGAGATAAATAAGTACAATTTTATTTTAATTATTATTTAAGATAAGTAAAATTAATAATACCAATCGTTCAAAGTAGATACCTTTTAGAGGATCATCAAAATATATATTCTATACCTATTTAGTTAAGTACCAACATTAAATACATGCATAAAAATGTAATACTCTATTTTTAATATGACCTTTTTTAAGATTATGAGACTTATGAGTTACGACTAATGTATTWAAAAAAAAAAAACAAGACAATTTTATCGTTTTTATATTTGCTTAACGAAGAAGGCCATGCTTTTATAATGAGTATTTTTAAATCSTACATCTTTTACTCTATATAATTATTGATATGAATATAACTGTATTTATTAAAAATAGGCCTATCCCGGTCTGTTTTAAAAATACATACTTTTATAATCATTATTTATTTTACTGATTACCTATCAGAAAATCGTTTCCTTTCTATTTTAAAATTATATTCTATTACAATACCGTAAATAACTAATAAGTATAATGATATTCTTTACTCCTTTCGTTGTATTCGTACTTATACGTCATACATGATACAAAATATTTTACATGCACACTATTTAAAATATGTATACCTATTCAAATAATTTAAGCAAATATATTTTTGAACAAATATACAGCCATGTTTTAATTATTGTAATATAACTACTACCTATAAGATAATTTATTTCATCGGAGTACATAATTTAAACACACAGTTTCCTTGAAACAGCCGTTTTGAAAAAGCCTAGGTAAACAGTACGTTAGATATCTGTACAAAATAAAGGTTAAA